ATATATACACACGTAATAAGCCGTTAAGAGGAATCAAACCTCTATGGTGTTATTAACAGTAACATGCTTTATCATTAAGCTATAACAGCGGATGGAGTGTTAACTGATTCTACAGTAAATAGACCTTTCTCCCCCCTCTTCCACCCCGCCCAAGGGGGCTGCATCCGGCGGAGCCAGAAGCTTCCCCCCCTCGGAGGGCGGGTATGCCTCATTTATATAAATGAAGCTTCGGGACCGATGCATCAGCCCCTGCGGGGCTGAAGCTTCGTTTTAAAAAACGATGCATCCTCCTCCGGGGGATGCTTTCTGGGTTATCCTGGGAAAGCATTGGACCAAAGAATCGAAAAAATTTTTTTTTATAATTTATAATATCTAATTAGTATTACTTTCCAACTTAAATAATATCTTATCTGTTATAGATAAAGAGAGGATATTAACTATACAGCCTCGACTATAACTTTTCTTATATATTATAGATAGAGAGATTATATATTAGCGTTGTATTGTTATACAGTCAGTATAATCCCATACTTACAATTATTTCTTGTCTATTATAGATAGATAAAATGAGAGAATATATTCATAGATCAGCCCTATGGGCTGATCACCCCTCCGGGGAGATCTGTATAAATTATCTTATACCTCTTCTTTTAGGAGGGGAGAGGGGGGGGTAAGATATGAAAACAAAGCCCGGCTTCATCCTAGGGTACGGCCTTCGGAAAGTAATTGTTTACTCTAAAATGGTTGTAGTTTTCGTAATACTAGATCTATTCAGATAAGTAAAGAACACTGGGATATTCCATAGGTAAATTATTAATAATTAAATGCGATAGGTTAAACTATAATTTATTACTAATATCATTAGTAAATAAAAGTAACAGGGTATTTCCCTTTCCCCGGGGAGGGTGGCATCATATGAAGCTTCCCCCCCCACAGGGGGGATGCATCATAATATTTTTATAAATAAGCTTTGGATCCTGAGCACCCTATCCAACGCCTCTTTAAGGGGCAGCTATATATAAAAAATTTTTTTTAATCTTCATAATTATATAAAACATAATTATTGTAAAACAATATTTAAAGAATTTCCCCTGTGGGACGAGTCTTTGGAAGCCAGGGGGCTTTGTATAAGCATAAAAACACTTATAGGCCGGAGGCCGTGTTCTTTAATTTGAAACGTAATCTTTAAAATATAAACTTTTATATAGCAGGAACCTATATTTTGTCCTAAATGTTTTTTTATATAAAAACTGCAGGAACCCGCTTCCCTGCGGGTTCTTTATTTTATAATGTTCCCTGTGCAGCGAGAACTCCCAGCAGGTTCACCCTACGGGAGAACCAGCTCAAGGGTTAGTTTTTTTTGTTAAAAAGGTTTAGGTTCAGCTTAAATATTTGTAAGATAATAATAAAAACCTTTCATAAAGAAGAAAAGTATAATAAACAACGAATAAAAAAAATAACAGTACTGATATGTAAAATTATTTTCAAGATAATAAAGAGATTAATTGAGGATGACTAGCCAATGATTATAAAGGAGGTATAAATACCAAATATCCTAGCTAATAATTTCAAGCTTAGCTAAATCTAGGATTCTCCTATGGAAAACCAAAAATTTTTAAATTAACAAACAACCTTATGAACTGAAACATCTAAGTAATAAGAGGAAAAAAAATCAACTGAGATTCTGCTAGTAGTGGTGAGCGAAAACAGATAAGCCTGCCGGCATATAGCTGGCTATAATATATAATTTAATTGTGAATAATTAATTTCTTCCCAAGTACCATATAGGTGCTTTTGGGATTAATGAAATTTCTGGAAGTGAAATATACCAAAGAGGGTGATAGTCCCGTAACAATTAAATTATAATTTGTTCGTTTGTCGTTTACGATGAAATTAAGAACAAATAATTATGCTTCCTTGGTTTCAACCGGGAACATAGTTTATAAAAAAAAAGTAAGATGGAAGATAATCTGTCTGAATTAGGGGAACCATCCTCTAAGGCTAAATATGAATCATTGAGCGATAGTGAATAGTACCGTGAGGGAAACGTTGAAAAGCAAGTAGATAACTGGTGAAATAGATCCTGAATCAATAATCTTATAAGCAGTCGGAGTATGAAACAAATAAAATAATATGACGACGTACCTTTTGCATCATGGGTCAGCGAGTTTATAGGTAGTGCAAGTAAAAATTAAAAATATTTATCCTCTGTAAGGGGATAAAATTATTATAATAATACTTAGTGAAAGCGATCATATATTATTGGTTAGGTTTAACCGGCCTTTTATAATTTATGAGGAAAGTACTATATATAAGACCCGAAACTGTGCGATCTTACCATGGCCAGGTGTAAGACCGAACCAACTACTGTTGCAATAGTACTGGATGAGCTGTGGTAGGGAGTGAAAGGCTAATCTTGCACAGAGATAGCTGGTATTCTGCGAAACCTATTTAGGTAGGATCTATATTTGAATTATAGCAAGTAGTGCTCTGCTTTTAGCAATCCATTTGTTATTTATGACAAATGGGATTGTATTGAAAAATACAATTTATATTTAATGGGGGGATTATTATGATTCTATCCACTGAAGGCAATCAAACCAATGGTTATAAATTCAAGATATAGGGTCAGACTATGGGTGCTAAGGCCGATAGTCGAATGGGGAAGAGCCCAGAATAGTAACTAAGGTCCCTAAATAAATACTAAGTGAATATAAGGTAGTGTCGTATAGAAAACATCCATTATGTAGGCTTGGAGGCAGCAATCATTTAGAGAAAGCGTAAATGCTCAATGGTCTTTTTTAATATATGATGCACCAATAATTTAACGGGTCTAAAGTATTTTACCGATGTTCTATCTGCAAAATAATATTAATATAATACCTTTCTGTTCGTTCCTTTTTCTTTGAGAAGGGTACTGTTTATCAGTGTAGGTGGTCTTTAATAGACTATTATAAAAATTTGCTGGGTAGCAGAACATACTATAAATGGAATGAAGGGTAATTTTTAATTACCTTGACATAATAGTAGAGATTATGCTGACATGAGTAACGCAAAAGCATTAAAATATGCTTCACCGAATGCCTAAGGGTTCCATAGAAAAATTAAATTGCTATGGGTTAAACGGTCTCTAAGAATATAAGCGAAAGCTTTGATTGATGAGGAATTTATTATAAATATATTTAATAGAGAGTAAAATTAATTATGGCTCAAAAGGCCCGCAGAATTAAAAGTTCTAGGGATTGATTTATTCTTTTTATTTATACAGGAAAAAATAATATAAGATATACCGTACTCTAAACCGACACTGGTAGGCAGGTAGAATATACTAAGGTGTTGAGAGAACTCTCCTGAAGGAACTAGGCAAAATAACTCTGTAATTTCGAAAGAAAGAGTGGCTATTAAATAATAATTTAATGGCTGGCACATAAATGTGAGGTACGACTGTTTACTAAAAACACAGCACTTTGCCAACATAATAATGGATGTATAAAGTGTGATACCTGCTCAATGCCAAACGTATAAATTTTTTGGTTTCACGATCAAAAATCAAACATTGGTCAATAGCGGCTGTAACTATGACAGTCCTAAGGTAGCGAAATACCTAGTCGGATAATTGCCGACGTGCATGAATGGTTTAACGATACTTCAACTGTCTCCAGGAGAGACTCAGTGAAATTGAACTAACCGTGATGATGCGGTTTACCTACAGCTAGACACGAAGACCCTATGAAGCTTTACTGTAGTTAATTATAGTTAATTTTTTATTAAGATACAGCAATAAGGTAGTTGATTAAACAGAACTGAGAGCCCTTAACTTAATATAAAATTAAATAAGATAATACACAATACTTATATTGCCCCTTCCTTGTACCTTTAGGTATAGGTCCTGGATGCCATCGGTGTCCGGGATCTAATAGGTTGAAATATATAAAGTTATTGAATATTCTTCCTTGGTTTTACCAAGGACCTGGAAAATTTTATAAAATAATTTTTATAAAGGTTCCCCAAAGGGAAAATGATTAATTGGCAGTTTACCTGGGGCGGGATTCTCATAAATAGTATCTGAGAAGTACAAAGGTTTGTTTAAATTGGATGGAAACCAATGGGTTTATGATAACCTAATTAAGCGTAATGGTATAAACAAGCTTAACTGTAAGACAAAAAAGTCGAACAGACGCGTAAGCGGGTCATAGTGATCCGATAGTTTCATTATGGAATGGCTATCGCACAACTGATAAAAGTTACTCTAGGGATAACAGGCTAGTCACTGACGAGAGTCCATATTGACTCAGTGGTCCGGCACCTCGATGTCGACTCATCTTTTCCTGGGGGTTGTAGTTGCTCCCAAGGGTTCGACTGTTCGTCGAGTAAAAAGGTACGTGAGTTGGGTTTAATACGATGTGAATCAGTATTGATTATATCTACTGTAGGAGTTAGAATAAGAATAGCAGTTTATCTTAGTACGCAAGGACCAGATTAAGTGCACCTATGGTTTACCAGTTGTATAACATTATAAATAAATGAATGCATGGCTGGAAAGCTATGTGCATAAATGATAACTACTGAAAGCATATAAGTAGGAAACAGAGCTATGTATTATTCTTTTCCCTACATCTTTTGGATGTAAAGGGAATAAAATTAGCAATAGACTATTGCTTAGATAGGCTACCCTAAAAATTATAAATTTTTTATAAAAATAGGGATTTAACTATTTCATTCTGCAGGAACCCGCCTCCCAGTGGGTTCTTAGAGGATGTTAAAGTTATCTATGAGGTGTAAGAATAGTAATATTTTAAGCCATCTAGTACTAAATATTTATAATCTTGAAAATTATTCTTATCATTAACGCCCGTAAGGGACAAAATATAACTTACTCCACCTGTTACAAAATACAATCGTATTTTAGGGCGAGCCCTGGTTAACTTATCAGAAGTTTATGCAGAAGGAACAAATAAGAGGAGGGCAATTAATAGGCCATTATATTTATACAACAATAATGTGGATTAGTGTAAAGGTTAACACATAAGGCTCATGATCTTATATTGATAGTTCGATTCTGTCATCCGCGCAATAAATAAAAACTTTATTATATGAAGCCTCAGGCTCTTTTTTTTTTGTAATAAAAAAAATGAATAGGTCAATCTCATTATAGCAGGCTTAAATGTTATAGATATAATATATGTTAAATACAAACAAGACTGTTCGGACAAATTTATATCTATCCTCCCGGATGGCTAAAAATATATAATAATACTTCATATATGTACATTCTATGTCTTTATGTCTAAGCTTCTGAAACAGAAAAATAAGCTTCTGAAGTAGTCTAAGCTACTGGAACTATATAAGCTTCTGAAACAGTCAAGGCTTTTATATTATATCTTTAAAAGGGAGAGGGGGTGTTAATTCCGGTTCTTAAAATTATTAGTATAATAAAGGGGGGGGAGTTTGTCATTAGTATTATAAATATATTAATACGGACGGAAAAGGTTAATATTATTATTAAGAGCTTCCGGAGCCGGATCCAGCCCTTCCCCGGGGGGCTGCTAATATCAATTGGTTAAATTTCAGCCTCTGGTATAAATGAAAACCACCATTTACCATGTACTAACTTCTGAGCTTTTATACATCTTACAATATAATCACGAGTAAACCCTGTCGATACTTGAGCTTGTCTTAAAGAGGAATGTATTTTTACTAAAGTAATTTTATCTGCTTTGTATTGATAAACTATTCTAGTTTTAGAATGATTTGTCCGCATTTTTTCTATAACTTCTGAAGGTCTTGTAGAACCTTGAAAAGGAAAATTAATAGAAGGTTTATTTTCTTTTATAGTTTCTTGAAGAAATTCTGCAGCTTTTAGAGCCTCTCGGGCCTTTTTATTATCTGCAAAAGCGCTTACTCTTTTTAAAATAGACTCTTCGGAGTGTTTATGCCCAAAACTAGAACCAGCAATTTTTAAAACATTATAAACAGGGTTTAAAGAATCAATATAATATTGTTCTCGTTTTAATACAATATCTTTCTCACATAACTCTAGTATCTCTAGAGAAAAATTATTATAACCGTATTTTAAAAGAGCACGATTAATTCTACTGCCCTTACTAAAATCCGAAATTGAGTTATAATCATAATAAACTCTAAATCTTTTAGATAAATCTATTGACGAACCAATATAAGTATCTTTAGTAATAGTATTAACCCATCGATAAATACCGCATAACTTTTTATTATCGGAAATTATCTCTTGTTTTAATAAATCCGCATTATTGTATATTTTAATAGGGATTAAAGTAGAATAAAGTAAAGAGAAATATTCATCATTAAAGGCCATTAAGTGCATAAAAAGGCCATCATAAAAGGCCACATTAAAATGAAAATTTAAATAAGTTTGTATCATTGTCCTTTTTATTTATATTATTTATAAGAAGGGGGGTGTTTAACTCCGGTTTTTTTATACTTATGAGTAAAGTAATAAGAAAGCCATCATTAAAGCGAATAATCCAATAGCTTCCGTAAGTGCGAAACCTAAGATAGTGTAAGAGAATAATTGAGCTTTGATAGAAGGGTTTCTAGCAGTAGAGTTTACTAAAGCTGCGAATACTGTTCCAATTCCAACACCTGCACCTGCTAATCCGATTGTTGCTAATCCTGCTCCGATGATTTTTGCGCTTGCTAACATTTTTTTATGAGGTTTTAATCGCCTTAACAAAAACACGATGTATTATTAAACTGTCTTTTTATTGATTCTTGTTATATATATTTAACCGGTAAGATAAATTTAGATCACTTATTTAAAATAAAATAATTACATTTAAGAGGATATATATTTTTTATATAGTAAAGGATTATAGCTTAATCGGTTAAAGCGCGGTCTTGATAAGACCGATACTAGAAGTTCGAGTCTTCTTAGTCCTATAAAATACTTTACTATAAAGTAATATTATTTCAGAAAAATTAAATTAATTAAACTTTCGGTTTTTAATTTAAACCTAAACACTTTAATCTATTAAATTTCTATTCTTTGAATTTAAAAATTTCGGCTTTTAATGTTCGCACCTTCCCAAGGGTAGGTATATTAGACTTGTATATAAAAATTAAAGGGTTTTATCAAGACCTTTTGAATAAGTTTACCCCCCTTCTCTTTCTTAAAGTAAATGAGATCCCCTATATGTATTCATATAAAAAAAACAGTATAAAATAAAGGGCACCGCACCGGAGAGGTGGTTATATATTTTAATATAAATGTTTATAAAATAAGGGTTTATAGCTTAATTGGTAGAGCACATAATTGTCGATTATGAGGATATCGGTTCGAATCCGTTTAATCCCGATAAAAATTAGGCCTATGCTGGTCTACAAAACCGAAAAAAAAATTGAATAATCTTAGCCCTTCCAACGATGCATCCGGCTCTGCTGGAAGCTTCCCCCGGAGGGGGATGCATCGTTTTTTAAAACGAAGCTTCAGCCCCGCAGGGGCTGATGCATCGGTCCCGAAGCTTTTATTTTTTTTTTGGTAAACCTGTTGTCTTCCTGCGGGAGGATTAAATTTTAATTCTTTTTATTTAATAAAAAAAAATGCCTCAATTATTACCATTCTATTTTGTTAACATGTTGTCATTCTCATTTGTATTATTTGTAGTAATCTTATATGTGTTATCAACATACATACTACCAACTTACCCATTACTTTTTTCTGTAAGAATGGCGTTAACTAAATAATACTGTCAAATTTTATTGCCTAATATAAAATATAGAAAAGGGTTCAATCTTAACGGATAATGATTCAAACGGATTGAACACCCAACTATTTTATGTTCTGGACTAAAGCTGACGATATGTTAATATTAAATAAAATTTAATAATTTTTACTTACATCTAAAATTACGGTGTAAGGGTTTTTATCAATGGAATTTATTTATATTGCCGGTTATATACTGTATATAACGATTGCTTAGAGTTACTAGTTGTTGGGACTCCCGAGTATATCTCTCTTTTGATTAGCTGCAACAATATGCTAATTAGTTGTTTTAGCTTTTAATTTGGTATTTCAGAATATACATTTAAGAATAATCCTTATTAGATGACTCTTTAGAGTCACCTTGAAGGTTAAAAATATTAAGGATATTTTATTTTTATGGTTAAAACTGTATTGCCATAAATGAGAATAACCTATTATGATGTTGATGACTTGTCTCTAAAAGTAGAGTTCAAATGAAATTTGCAAGTTCCTCTAAGAATAATGTTGTTTTAAATAACGCTCCTAATGTTTATGAAAAAAAAATAAGCACCATATATTAATATTGAAAAGAAAATCTTCGCCTTCGGCGATGATTCCTTCGGAATCTGATTAAGATTGTTGATAAATAAAAGCTAATTGTATCGTTAGTACTAAAATATAATTTTTTTAATAATAACATAAATACAATTTATAATAATTATAATCTAATTTTTTTTACAGTTATCTATTATAAAATAAACCTCCTTAATATAAAACTGAACCTAATAAAATTATTTATTAGAAAAGGGAGGGGGTGTTTAGTTTTCTTTATCTTTGTTAGCATAATTTAATGCTCCAGATGCATACTCGTATACGAACAATTATATTATCGTAAAGGCTCTTTATCCTTTACTTCCAATAGTTACCTATTGGTTTAGACTATGTTATCAACCAGTAAGATTATTATTGGTTGTAGGGTACTCGTGTCCGGATTATTGTTGATGTTACTCACCGATTAGTCGTTGAACGTTCTTGATTTATTCCTAAAAAGGATTCATCGAATCAAGCTTCGCTGCAAATTGAGTTTATTGAAAACTTGTTCTTGCAATTCACCCTATTTTCATTAAAACATTACTGTTTTAGGCGGCTTTATTTAACCGATTGTTAATACAACTAAAAAGAATAATAAGATCCAAAAACCTGATTGACCGATACTATACATTGAAACAGCAGCCGGGAAAAGAAGTAAAACCTCTAAATCAAAAACTAAGAAAAGTATTCCAACTAAATAAAAATGAATAGAGAATTTTTGCCGTGCTTGTTCCACAGGACTAAAACCTTAACTTATCTTTTAATGGGAGATATAAAGAAATAACGTAATAGATATTGTAAAATAGGGGTGTTTAAAACTTAATTAATATTTGTGTTATCTAAAGAATCCTTTTTACTTAAAATATATTCACCTTTAAATAATTTATTATCTTTAAGATATCTTCTTATAGTCATAGGTGTTACTCCAAAATGTTGTGCTACGGTAGCAATAGAAGGAAAAGTGTTGAGTAATTTTAATTTATCTTTATTTATAAAATATAGATAAACAGGAGTAAAAATAGATGAAAATTTATTTATATTCTCAATAATATAAATTTGTTGTACGGGATCTTTATTTAAATTTGTAGTTAAGTACCATTCATTACCAAATAGAGTATTCGTATCTAAATATTTTCTAATTGAATTTTTAGTAGCTTTAAAATAAGTAGCAGTTACATTTAATGAAGGAAATGAATTAATTATTTCTTTTTTATCCTTGGATATTTGATAAATTGTTTTACTTAAAGATGATTTTTTTGATATCGCTAATAGATCTAAATAATCTTGTCCTCCAAATTCATTCTTTTTAGATAAAAATTTAGTAGTTGACATACTAAATTTGGATATTTTCTTATGTGTTTTACCAAAAAAAGGATTATTTTCTCCTAAAACAGATAATCTTATTTGGGCACGTATTTCATCTGAATGTTGTACTTTACCATCTATGAAGTATTTTAAATTATAATAAGGTTTAGAACTTAAATAATAATTTTCACGATTAGCTAGTTCTTTTAAAGGAACTATTTCTAAAACTGCTAATTCAAAGGATTTCCAACCATGTTTTTTTATAGCATTATAAAACAAAGGAACTGAAGAATTCTTTGTATTTAGAGAATAATTGAAACTCGTCCTATGAGAAAGTAATCTCTTAGATAAAGATTCGGCACTACCAACATAACATTTCCATGGTTCTTTTATTAGTCTAAAAATATAAATTCCACTAATCTCTTTATATTTCTTAGTATAAGTTATAGAATAACC